TGTGAAGATGTCAATTCTTCCTAAATTTAGTCTGAAAGTAAATGTTATAATTTTTTTTTTTTTTTTTTTTTGAGACAGAGTCTCACTCTGTCCCCTGGGCTGGAGTGCAATGGTGTGATCTCAGCTCATCACAACCTCTGCCTCCCAGGTTCAAGCAATTTTCTTGCCTAAGCCTCCCAAGTAACTGGGATTACAGGTGCATGCCACCACACCCAGCTAATTTTTTTGTATTTTAGCAGAGACAGGGTTTCGCTGTTTTGCCCAGGCTGGTCTCAAACTCCTGAGCTCAGGCAATCCACTCGCCTTGGCCTCCCAAAGTCCTAGGATTACAGGTGTTAGCCACTGCGTCCAGCCATTTTAAGTTTTTTTAAGAATTTGACAAAATGATGTTAAACTTCATTAGAAAATTAAACACATGAGGGCTGGACACAGTGGCTCACACCTGTAATCCCTGCACTTTGGGAGGCCGAGGCAGACAAATCACTTGAGGTCAAGAGTTTGACCAGCCAGGCCAACATGGTGAAACCTCGTCTCTACTAAAAACAGAAAAATTAGCCAGGCGTGGTGCAGGTGCCTGTAATCCCAGCTACTCAGGAGGCTGAAGCAGGAGAATAACTTAAACCTGGGAGGCATAGGTTACAGAGAGCTGAGATCATGCCATTGCACTCCACTTTGGGCAACGGAGTGAAACTCAGTCTCAAAAAAAAAAGAAAAAAAGAAAACCACATAACATGAAAATTTTGCAAAAGAATAATTAGTGAACATAATTTGACCAGACACTAAAACATGTTATACTGCTATAATAATTAAAACATTATGCCATAGGGGTAGAAATAAGTAGTCAGATCTTTAGAACCCAAAAGTAGACTCAAATACACAAATAGGGTTTATGATAAAAATCACATTTCAAATCAATAGGCAAAAGATGGACTAAATAATACTGTTCCAATAAATAATGCTGGCTTAACTTGCTGGCTATTTAGAAAAAAAGTTAAGCCAGATTGCTACCTCATTCCTTTCTCCAAAATAGAGTATGGTGGCTCAAATTTTTTTTAAAAAAAATAGGTAAGTACATTGTAGTCTTGATGTAGGCAAGGAATATTTTCAAGTAGAATAGAAAACTCACAAGCCCTAAGAAAAAAATTGATAAACACAATTGCATACAAGTAAAAAAGTCTCTACAACCAAAAGAATTGTTTTAAGTACTAATATTTTTCCAAAAAATACCTAGAAAAGAAGACTTGCATCAGGAGCTAGTTTTCTTATTATATCAAGAGTATATACAATAAACAAGAAAAAGACTTAAAAAATTCAAATGTATAAAAGATGCTAAATCTCACTAAACGGCAAATCAAAATAATGAGATACCATTTGTCTCCTATCATACTGTCAAGATTTTTTAAAGTTTGATAATAGTGTTAAGAGAAATAAGCATTCTGAGACAACATGAAAGTGTAAACAACGTTTTTGAGAAATTATTAGTCAAAATCTACCAAATGCCCATACCCTTTGTCTCTGTAATTCTACTGGTAGGCATTCACTTTACATATATAATCAAAAAAGCACACTTAGATTCATATTAACAGAATATAAAAGAAAAACCATTTGATCATCTCGATCGATGCAGAAAAAGCATTTGAAAAAAATTCAACATGCATTCAAAATTTAAAAACAAACAACAAAAAAACTCTCAATAGAGTAGAAATTGAAAGGAACTTCATCTGATACGGCAATCTAGGAAAAACCTAAAGTTAACACCACACTTAATGGTGAAAATCTAAATGCTTTCACCTTAAGATCAGAAACAAGCTGAGGATGTCTGCTCTCATCATTTATATTGAACACTGTGGTGAAGCCAAAATAATAAGTCAAGAAAAGGAAAATTTAAAAATCCAGATTAGAGGGGAAGAAGTAAAATAGGCTTAATTTGAAGATTACATGATTATCTATTTAAAAATCTGATGGAATTTATAAAAGCATTACTAGAACTAGTGAGTTTATCAGAATTACAGGATACAAACAAGGTCAATATTTTAAATTCAACTGTATTTCTACATACTAGAAAGGAAAACTTTTCAACAGTGCTAAAATAATTGTAGAGCAATATGCAAAAAGAAAAAAAGAATCTTTATCCTTACACCACATATAAAAATTAACTTTAATCATTAAACAGATGTAAGAGCTAAAACTCTATTAAACTTGTAGCAGACAGACATACAAGATTGTTCACTACAGTATTATTTCCAACAGAAAACCAGATACAACCTAGAGGCCCATTATCATGGAAAGATTATCTAATAAATCATAACAGTTACATAAAATTAAATACAATCTAGCCACATGTAACCACTAAAAAGAAAAAAGGTAAATTTTGTGCCAACTGATATGGAAAGAATGCCAAATATACAATTAAGATTTGTTTTAAAAGTGTTGAGTCATGTATAGGGAGGACAACTTTTGCGTAAATAAAAAGAATATTTGCATTTCTAGTCATTTTATGTGTATATGTGTGTGTAGGTATCTATGTATGTGTATATCCTTATATATATTTTTTTTCCAGAAGGCTACACAGGAAACTCAAACTTTAGGGAGAGGTACTAAAAATCAGAAAGCTTGGAAAAGAGAGAAATTAATATGCTTTTTAAAATTATTATACATTTTTAGTCATGGTTTTTGCTAGTGCATATGTTATTCTATTTTTAAAAATAAATCTTTTTTACAAAACATGTAAGAGATCTCTACAGAGGAGACTATTATGACCCAGATGTGTGCTGAAGTCATGGGAGAGTAGAAACCATATGAAACGGAAACTCATCCTGAGAAGAAAAAGAAAATGGAGAAGCAGGAAACTGAAAGACCCATGCTTGAGAGAGTGGGACAGAGGATTAGTGAGTGGGTTCACTATGAATTCTACACTTTGGCCCTCTGAAGCCTGCTAAGCTTTGCTGTCTGTCCTTGTATCCCATGAAATTTCCTACTGCATTCTTCTAAGCAGCCCCTCTTTTCAAGAGCTGATTTGAGTTTCTCGTGAGCTAGTTTTAGTTCCTTAACAACCCCAAATGGGCCTAGTCTGATCCCTTGTTGAATACCCTGAATTAGTCCCTAATGGAGGTACAGCCTTACCTTGTTGAAAGTAAAGCCCTCTGCAGCATACACCCTGTGAATGTCTGCAGTCAGTCAAGCCTAGCGAGCATGATTTAAATAGAAACTTGCCCAGCAACATTCTATACTCATTAGAAAATTCATGATGAAGATCTCCATTGCTCAGTATGCTATTCAGAATATTTTTTTCTAGATGTTATAGTATGGTATATATGAGTAATAAATCATAGAAGAATGCTTTCAAATCTCGAGAATAGATTTTAGAAAGAAGAAATCAGAAACCTGAACGGGGAAATGTCAGGGGAAGTCTGTACAAATATTAAATATAACACCCAGAGATACACAGAATAAGGAAACACATACCATACAAGCGTGAGCAAATTAGAGAATAATTCCAAACCAACACATAAGCAAGTGCATAAAAGTTGTTGTTAGTCCATCTTCTGCCGCTGTAACAGAATATTACAGACTGCATCCTTTATAAACAATAGAAGTTTATTTGGCTCATGGTTCTGGAGGCTGGGATGTCCAAGATCAAGGGGCCACATCTGGTGAGGGCCTTCTTGCTGCATCATAACATGGTGGAAGGTCTCACATAGTGAGACAGAGCAAGAGAGTGAGAGCTCAAGAGAGAGAAAAAGGTGACTGAACTTACCCTTTTACTAGGAGCCGCCTCCCACAGTAACGGCATTAATCCATTCATAAGGGCAGAGCCCTCATGACCTAGTCACCTCTTAAAGGTCTCATTTCTTCTCACAATGGCAAATAAATTTCAACATGATCTTTGGAGGGGACATTCAAACCACAGCAATGGTAAAGATGTAAGAGTAGTAACTGGCTTCTTCACGAACCACTGCTAGATAGGGCCCGTTCAAGTGTAACTCAAATGTCTTCTCTTCTAGGAGGCTTTTCCTAATTTTCCCGCTAGAACTGACCTTTCCTTTATGGTTCCACTGATTATGTACTCTTTTCTTTTTTTTAATTTAATTTTATTGTAATTAAGTTCCAGGACCCATGTGCAGGACGTGCAGGCTTGTTACATAGGTAAACATGTGCTCTGGTGGGTTGGCTGCACCTAGTAAGCCCCGCATGCATTAGCTATTTATCCTGATGCTCCAGGGGGAGACTCAGGACTGGCTTTGACAGAGCTTGGTAGAGGAATCCAGTGATCACTAGGTTGATCTCTAAATTCCCTTCTCTAACGTTCTATGGATTTTAAACCTTTAGCATATGAAATTATTGAGAGGAAGAAAAGAATCGTGGCATAATGGAATTTATCTACTATTGTTTACATTGTCATGTCACCAGATTCACAAACCTGTCATGATATTGCAGTCACTAATGAACAATACATACCTACAGCTCTTACAAATGATTAACTAAATGATCAGATTTTTCATTGCCCCACCAAAGCATGAAGAAATTTATCTTAGCTTTAGCTGCCTTAAACCTCTCTCGAGTGAAAAACATTAAAAATATCTGCAAATTACTGATGACTAATGCCCTTCAATTTGGCCTCAAGCTGAGACATTCTGTGCAGAAATAAAGTGGTTTATAATCCCACAGGTCCATTCTATTATAAACTGCAGGTGGCAAATCAAGTGACTATGAACTATGCCGTGTGTGTGTGTGCACGTGCACACGAATGTGTGTAAAAAGCAATACTCAAGAGGGTATTTCTCCTACTCCTTCAATAGAAATTTAACCACCCACACAAAAGGCAGATGCTAACTGAGAGGACCCAGGAATCTGGGTGATGTCAGACAGTGGCCCAAAGCCAGAGTGGCTGTCATCCCCCTCGACTGCCCACCAGCCAGGGCAGCTGCATCTGCCCTTTGCAGAAAAGCAATCTAAAGCAAGCACAGAAGGAAGCTGGAAGGAAAACAACTGCAACTCACATCAATGACCTATTTTCTGAATCCGGCTTATGAGAGATTGGATTCTCATTCCTCCAAAAACCAGCGGAACACTTCAAGCCAAGAAAATGGTGTCTTTGATGACTAGAATGTATGACACATCATTACCAAAGGACTTTCTTTTGACCTAGGTTCCAAGAGGTGTTAGCCTCAGATGACTATTTTGGGAGGAGCTGATAAATCCACTAAATCCTTGGGGACTTTGCTTCACTATTAGGCAAGATTAAGGTGATGCTAATTGGTAGTGAACCTGATCTATTTAGTGTCTCCTACCAGGACACGGAGCAGAATCAAAACCATTCTCACAGATCCGTTTGCATGTCATTTAGCAGTTCCAATGTGATATTCCCCCAACCTTTTAAAGTTCCTTCATTCCAGATTAAATTCCTTCATTCCAAACGCTGCAAAATCAAAACTAATCATCTTTTGTGAGCAAAGGGCACAGTCAAAGCATGTAGTCAAGGTCACTTTTCTAAACTGCAGATAAACCCAGGGGAAACACCATCAGTTTCTGATCTGAATTACCAAGAAATAAAACAGCGACTATTCAACAGCATTCAGTAGCGTGCCCTGGGCTATATGCAGAACAGTAGGTTAAGATGAAAGATGGGGGCCGGGCATGGTGGCTCATGCCTGTAATCCCAGTAGTTTGGGAGGCCAAGGCACGTGGATCACCTGAGGTACATGGATCACCTGAGGTCAGGAGTTCGAGACCAGCCTGGCCAACATGGGAAAACTCCATCTCTACTAAAAATACAAAAATTAGCAGGATATGGCTAATTTTTAAATTAATTACAGGTGGCGTGCACCTGTAATCCCAGCTACTGGGAGCTGCTGAGGCAGGAGAATTGTTTGAACCTGAGAGACAGAGGTTGCAGTGAGTAGAGATCGTGCCACTGCACTCCAGGCTGGGCAACAGAGTAAGACTCCGTCTCAAAAAAAAAAAAAAAAAAATAGAGGAGAGAAGGGAAGTGAGAAACAGGAAGGTAGGGTCCCCAGAAAGCTTCTTTTCTGGCCAGCTAACATGACACATAGGCCCATGTGAAATAGCTGAAGACCGCAAAGCAGCAGGCAGCAAGAGCTAAATAACACTGGATAAGCTATATCCATCAATTCTGAGGAGGAGTCAGTTCAACCCAGGACCAAGACTTGAGTGGGAATGCTTCCTGGAGCAGATAAATCTAGGTACAGTTTTGAATGAAGAAGTGAAAAGACTAGTGTAGATGAGGCAGGAGAGAAATCCAGAGCCAAGAAACAGCACACAGAGAATGCAAATATGAAGAAGGTGATTTAAAGGACAGCGATCTTACTCCCACTAGTCAATAATGGCCTTTGTGTTTCCATTTACTGTCATAAGAATCTTCAGAATGGGGATAATGTGTTCTATCTTCCTATATTTCCTACAGTATTTGCACATAATAATTGCTCATATTGCAGCTAGCAGAATCATGGACTCCTACAGTTGGACTGAACTTATCCCATTTACTTGCAGAATAAATTAATGAATAAATGAATGGGTTATTAAAATGAACAGGTTATTAAAAAGATCAGCCTGGTTCCAGTAGAAGAATTATAAAAATAATCAACAGATGAAGTTAAATTTGTATACAAGAGTCAGTCGAGGGCAGAGTTTTCAGGCAGCCTGAGGGTTGGAATTTTACCTCAAAAGTGACAGGGTGCCACACCAGGCTTTTAAACAGTGGAGTTACATAGGAAATTTTCTTTGAGAAAGATTGCCTTGGCAGATTTTTGCAGGAAAAGGCAAATCAGAAGGCCAGCAGGATTCCACTGCAACAAGGAGTTAAAGGCTATACAGTCTGGAAGGTGACCGACAGCCTGCCCAGGCCCAAGCAAAAAAAATACCAGATGCCCCAGCAGAGGAGGACTGGCTAGACTGTCTTTACCAGGGATTTGCCCCGGGCCTTTTCAGTCGCGGTGCCCCAGTAATTTATCCTAATTTCCTTCCCCATAGCCCCGCCTCTCCACCTCAACCCTGACAGTACTTATTAGCTCAAAATGGACCATCTGAAGGAAGGGACAGGCTCTTGCAAATGAACCGAGGGCCTGGTCTGCTCCAGATAAGTGTTTCCTCTAAGAAAGGAATTATAATGCATTCCTAGTGTGAGTGCAGCAGCAATAGCCTGACAGCCATTTGCATAATTTCTCTTCGGTAACAGACTTTAAAAATAATAGGCAGACTAGATTAGAATCCATTAATTTTAAATTTGCCTGAGCTGCTATCTTTAATGAAGCTAAAGTACCATAAAGATTTTAAATCTATTAACTCTGTGGTGTATTATTTGTTCTCTCCAATGAGACATTTTGGGGAATGGACATTTAATTTGTGTTACTATAGAATCACCACCTTATTCTGGGATGTCCACTTGGTTTGAATGTACTGATAAGGTTGGAAGGTAGCTTATTTAGAAAGTTCATCCAAGAGTAGCAGAAAAATGCTAATTAATGTCAAGAATAAAATACACACACACATCAAGTCAGGAATGACTCAAGAATGCAGAAGCGACCAGCCTGGGTACCATAGCAAAACTCTGTCTCTACAAAAAATAAATAAATTACCCTAGCATGATGGCACATGCCTGCAGTCCCAGCTACTTGGCAGGCTGAGGTGGGAGGATCATTTGAGCCCTGGAGTTCATGTCTGCAGTGAGCCATGATCACACCACTGCACTCTTGCCTGGGGGACAAAGTGAGACCCCACCTCAAAAATAAAAATTTAAGAAGAACCCAGAAGCAAAAGAATCTCATAGACTACTTTTGCAAGTGCTAAAACCACTACACAGCAACAGGAGGACAGGAACCATGCCTATCAGTTCCACCATTATATCTCCCATGCCTAACATGGGGCCTGGCGTGTGGCTACATAATGTTGAAAGAAATGACCTACCGGATAAATGAATGAATGGGATTTCTTTACATAACAAAGGCAATTAATATACCTAATAAATAAATGCATAAGATTTATTTTTCCAGAGAACTAAAAAAGCAATAATTTCATGATCATGTTCATTCATAAGCATATGTGCCCACATGTGTGCACAGGCAAACACACACACCCTTCAAGTAAGAACACCTTCAGAAGGAACTACATTGAAAAGAAAGGACTTTAAATCTTAAATTCTTTGTTATAGCAGAAACATTTCAAGCTAGCAAAGCATTTAATAACACTGTAAAATGAATTACCACAAGTAAACTTCTTAGTTTTCTTCCTCCATTTATGGAGTGCCAGGCACTACACTTGATGGCTGACAAATTGCAAAGAAGGAAAAAAAAAAAAAAAACCTAACTTTTGAGTGTCTTCCCCTGGATAATTTTTCTAAAGAACATCCTATTAAGTTATACTCTAAACAGGCCAGATGCGATGGCTCATGCCTGTAATCCCAGCACTTTGAGAGGCCAAGGTGAGTGGATCACCTGAGGTCAGGAGTTCAAGACCAGCCTGACCAACATGGTGAAACCCTGTCTCTACTAAAAATACAAACAATTAACTAGGTGTGGTGGCGGGTGCCTGTAAGCCCAGCTACTCAGGAGGCTGAGGCAGGAGAATCACTTGAACCCAGGAGGTGGAGGTTACAATGAGCTGAGATGGTGCCACTGCACTCCAGCCTGGGTGACAGAGCGAGACTCCGTCTCAAAAAAAAAAAAAAAAAAAAAAAAAAAAAGTTTACTCTAAACAGATGAATTTTTGGCAGGAGCAAATAATCCATTTTCTGCTCCATTTAATATCCACAATTTTCATTTCATGGGTTTTATCCCTCAATTCCAAATGACATTCTAAGTCAGATAAGAACTTAACCAAAGTCATCAGCTAATACTTGAAAATAAATAAATAAATCCTAATGGTAAAAGGAGAATCTCTGGGTATTAAGTCTGCCTGAAAAACAAGACAAACAATGCACATCCAGTTTCAGATTTTAAAAATGTGTGGATCTGGAGTTTGCTGCTCTATCACACACACACACACACTGGGCACACACACAGATCACCTGTGTGTGATCTGCTTTATGACACACACACGCATGGTATTACACAGAGATTCCTGGGGGTTGTTCCTACACTTCTATACGTCTGGTCTCCATAAACTCAATAAAAAAAAAAAAAAAAAAAAAAAAAAAGTTTTACTCTAAACAGATGAATTTTTGGCAGAACCAAATAATCCATTTTCTGCTCCATTTTAATATCCACAATTTTCATTTCATGGGTTTTATCCCTCAATTCCAAATGACATTCTAAGTCAGATAAGAACTTAACCAAAGTCATCAGCTAATACTTGAAAATAAATAAATAAATCCTAATGGTAAAAGGAGAATCTCTGGGTATTAAGTCTGCCCTGAAAAACAGGGCAAACAATGCATCCAGTTTCAGATTTTAAAAATGTGTGGATCTGGAGTTTGCGGCTCTATCACACACACACACACTGGGCACACACAGATCACCTGTGTGTGATCTGCTTTATGACACACACACACGCATGGTACACACAGAGATCCCTGGGGGTTGTTCCTACACTTCTATACGTCTGTCTCCATAAAGCTCAATCTTCCTTCCTTCATCCTGAATACAGTGAAACTACTATGATCTTCCATACTACTTCCCTAATCGTATTTTAGAAAATGTCATGCAGAAATCTTTTTGGTATTAGTATTTTTAAATCAATCCTTCCAACATACCCTGTAATCAAAGCACAGTGTAACTCATTCTGTCAACATCTAGTGGCTTTGGGAGGCCAAGATGGGAGGATTGCTTGAACCCAGGAGTTCAAGACCAGCCTAGGTAATATAGTGAGACCCCATCTCTACAAAAGTAAAAGATAAAAAAAAGTTATCCAGGCATGGTGGTGTGCAACTGTAGTCCCAGTGACTCAGGAGGCTGAGGTAGGAGGATAGCTTGAGTCCAGGAGTTCGAAGATGCAGTGAGCTATGATCTTGCCACTGCACTCCAGCCTGGACAACAGAGTGAGATACTGTTTCTACAAAAAACAAACAAAACAAAACAAAAACATTCCATGGTGCCTATGGTGTGGCAGGTCCTGGTGACATAAAGTAGCCTCCTTATGGGGCTCAGAGTATGAGTGTTACAGAAGGGAAGTACAAGGTGCTATAGGAGCCCATGA